CCCCGCCTAGCAACATGTCTAAAGTATGTTAGGCGAAACCTCATCATTCTTGCCTCCAAAGAGCACTTCGGCTGCACCATCCCCAAGACATATCCATTTGTTCTCTTGGCCGGCTATGGGATGTTCAGTGCTCTTCTCCAACACCACAGCTCAAAGGCGTCAATTCTTTTTCTGATATCCTTATTCATTGTCTAGGTCTTAGATGCATAGCAAGTAATCAGAAAGACTGTGGCCTGAATTAGATGCACCTTAGTCTTTAAGCTGACATTACTACTCTGCAATAATTTGGAAAGTTCCCTAACTGCAGATTTTCCCAGTGCAATGCATCTCCTTATATCCTGACTGCTGATACCAAGGGTGTTAACTGTGGATCCAAGCAAGATAAGGTGATTAAGGATTGAAATTCATTTCTTCATTAATGATTAGTGATAATAAAGTAGGTGCTACCAGAGCCTTGGAAATGCATCAAGACATCTGCTCCCCCAGTAAATGGGCAGAAATAGGTTCCTGGATCCGTGAGACTCTAGGATCCCTGGTGGAGCAGTGGATAATCGCTCCATTGCTGAGAGGACAACAGTGTGGACCCACTCCTCAGAAAAGAATGTGGTAGTCAGTTCCAGCCAAGATTTCCAGCTTTGGGAAACCGCTGGAGGGTTGCTGTGAGTCAGACTGAACTGATTGCAAATTTGGGTTGGGGTAAGAGATACTAGGAGTCCCTGGGTGGTACAAATGGTTAGTGTACTGGGCTGCTAACTGCAAGGTTGGGGGTTCAAGTCCACCCATAGGCACTTTGAGAAAAAAAACCTGGCAATGTACTCCCCTCTCCTCTAAATCTCAGCATTTGAGTTTTCAGTGGTATTTTTTTCAGTCAACTCAAGAGGAATCTGGTTAGTCCCTATTTAAATCACAAGTTTTTAGGGGATTGCCAGTTTACCTTTGCAATCATCTCCACTCTTTCTGGACTGGAGAGCTTTACATTTGCAAAACAAGGGATTACAACTGCCCTGGTCGTGCTTGTGCAGTGCTTGTGCGTGTGGGGAGCAGCTTCCCCTGTGGCATTTGGAAATATGAAGATGGATTGTGCTGCCTCCTTGACCAGCAGCGACTCAGCTCCCAGAGGCTCACTGACAGCAGTGACACAGGGAGCCCTGGGGACTGCTGTTGTCTCTACACAGCACGTGAGTTCTGCCTAGAAAGATTGTCCACCTTTTCCTCCATCCAGCCTGGAACTCGTCCAAGTCCCCTCCTAGCATTTGCCCTTTCTTACGAGGAGTCATTGGTACCTGTGGATGACTTATCTTCTAGAAGGAAAATGTTGAGCATGTTTCTGTCACACTAGCTTGTTCACATACGTTCAGGCCCAGCTGAAGCTGACCGTTCACATCTCATGCCATTATTTCCCCAAGTGTCATCAGAAGGTCCCCAGTGGAAGGCTCCTGGAACAGGACTTGTCTTAGTTGCTAGATGGAAGGCTTTAGCAAACAGATTTATTTCCTTGAACTTTGTTGCTGTTGTTAGGTGCTGTCTAGTGGAGAACGACTCATAGTGACCCTGTGAACAAAAGATCTGAACCCTCCTCTATCCTGTGCCATCCTCACACTTCCTAACACACAAGAGCCTGTTGCATCAGTCACTGTGTCAATCTACCTGGTTGAGAGTCTTCCTCTCCTTCGCCAACTCCCCACCCTTTCCAGCAACATGTCCCTTTCCATGGAACAGCCCCTCCTAGCAACATGCCCAAAGTATGTGAGGCAAAGCCTCATCATTCTTGCCTCCAAAGAATTCCTTGAACTTTATGGGGCTAAACGTCCAAATTCAGGGCACTAAGCTCTAGGGCAAGTCCTTCTCTAATTCCTTGGTCTCACCTGTTGCCGTTGTAATTGTTTATCCCCATAGAAATTGAAAATTATTTTAGACAGTGTGAAGGAGGCGTTTTCCTTTCACATTAGTATCAATTAAACGTAATGACTTTCCCTTTGTTTCCTAAGCAAAATTAGAGAGAGCTCTGTAGTCTGTAATGTATTGTACTGCTAGCTAAAGGGACTGCACATCTCTGTTGGTTCGAATCCACTAGTAGCATCTTGGGAGGAAGGGGGAAGTCTCCTCCTGTTCTCATTTACAGCCTCACAAACCCAGTGGAGCGTCGTTTGGAGTTGGAATCGATTCGATGGTAGTGAATTTTGACTGGTGGAAGTGAGACAGGTCATTTTGCCACGTGGACCGCGTTAGTATTTAGATGATAAGAGGGGATGTTGTTGTTATTGTTGGGTGACATCTAGTTGACGACCACTCATGAACACTGGCCTGTCCTGCACCATCCTCACCATTTCCTGTACACTCAAGCCGTCGTTACAGTGACTGTGAGAATAGAACAGCTTGTGAAAATAACAGAAGTCTAGTGAATGAAGAAGGGTCAGGAGATTCCCAGAGAAGAGCAAAGCATGGCTTTGGCTCTGGGAGTGGGTCAGCTCAGGAGTCCAAGCAGGCAAGGTGTTAGCTTCACGCAGGTATGCAAAGAAGGATATGCAGTAGCAGGGGGCCAGCAGGTAAGAAGAGCCAGGGTAGAAAGAGGGCTTGGACTCAAGAAAACAAATAAAACAAAACAAAAACAAACACCAGTTAGCAGGATTGAGAGGCTTGATCTAGGGAGGAGTGTGGGAAGTCTTAGCAGTTAACATTGATGTTGAGGGCCTCACTGCAAAGTGAAAGCACTCTGTCAATCCCCTTACATTCCAATGACCTTAGAATAGGGCATCCGTTTTCACTGTGGAAATGTAACCTAGAGGAACCTGTCGCTGCCCACACACTTAGCTCACCTTGAGGCCGTTTACAGTGGGGCAAAGTGGGAAACCACCTAAATTACTGGAGATGGGGAAGTGATTCACGACACAGCTGCAAATAGAACCCCACACAAACGTTAAAACTACTTCTGAGACTAAGAGCTGTGACACGAATGGATAGAAGCACAGTCATGTTTATGGAAGCATTATTCACAATAGAAAAGAGATGGAGACAACCCAAGTGCCCCATCAGCAAACTGAATGCATAGAGAAACAATGGCACATGCACACAATGGAGTGCTACTGCAACATTGAAAAACAATGGAGAATTTGTGAAACAATGGACAACGTGGATGTATCCAGAGGACATGGGCTGAGTAAAATATATCAGTTACAAGAGAACAGATACTGGATAAGGCCACTGTTATGAATGATTGTATGAAATACAATGTAAATGAAAGATTGTATAAAACACAATGTACATGTAGAAGGAGTATGAGGACCCAAGGGGGACAGGGTGGAAGCAGAGGGGTGAGAATGGGCAGGGCAATGAGGTGTTAATCATAGGGATGCACAATTTAGTGCAGGGGTGAGGGTAAAGGAAATGAGAAGGATCTTTTGTGAAAAATAATGTAGTCAAACTTTGTAAGTAAATCAGAATAAAATTTTAAAACAAAACACCCACAATGTATGTGAAGAAAACACAATGCATATAAATAATTATATGCAAACCAATTTTTTTTTTTTTAAAAAGCTAGAGAAAGGGCAAGCTCTGGCGGCCTAGTGGCAAGAAGCTGCACTGCAATCCCAGAGGTGAGATATTTGAATCCACCAGATGCTCTGCTGGAGAAGGAGGAACAATCTCCTCCTGTACCAGTCAGACCTGATTTGACGGTACATGCACACACGCACCAAAAAAAAAAAAAGCTAGAGAAAGGTTTGCACACAGTTCAGTCTAGTAAGACTACTAGGAAGGGAAGAGGAAAAAATTGAAAACTCATTCTTAATAAGCACTTAATTGAGATGGGTGAAGGCAAGACAATATGAAATGAATGGATGAGCAGATAGTGTGTGTATTATAACTGATGGGTAAAATGTGCATCAATGAAAATGAAAGTGTTCCTTGTAAACTTTTACTCATCACAATTTTAAAAAAAAATTCTTTTGGGGAAGTGTTCCCAGGACATCAAAGGCAGTATGTTGCCTGATGGAACTCAACCACCAGCTCACCTCAGTGCCCTCGAATCAGGACTGACTCATAGCTCACCCTCCAGCTGTTTTTCAGAGGCTGTAAATCACATGAGAGGAGATCACCCACGTTTTGAGGATGACGGATTCCAACCACCTGCCTTTGGGTTGGCAGCGTGACTTTCTACCCACTCACCAGAGCAAGTTCTAAAACAATGCAATTCTAACTTTCTATTGCAAAAACAAAACCTGTATATTGTGGGTGTGTGTGTGTGGGGTGTGTGTATTGAAAGAATGAATGCACACCAAAATGTTAATAGTCGTTTTCTTTGGGCATTGGGATTATGGATAACTTTTGCTTTTGCTTTATTTTTCCTACCTGCCACCTTTATAGTATTCTTTATGAGTATTACTTACTACTAGGGAGCACTGGCCACCTAGTGTCAAGAAGCTGCACTGCAATCCCTAAGGCATGAGATTCGAATCCACCAGCTGCTCTGTGGGCGAAGGATGGGCGATCTCCTCCCATGCTATTAACGGCCTCTGAAAACCCACCGGAGGGTCAGCTGTGGATCATTTCTGACTTGACGGCCCACAACACAACATTACTTAGTACTATTATAAGACTGATTACTGTCTTCCCATAAAATAATTAGTATGGACTTTTCTTCTCCTAAAACTGGAGTTGGTCTTGGAGGATGGGATGGAACCCTGTGACTTGGTCAAGGGGAACAGAATCTCAGTTGCTGGGACAGGCAGAGACTGACAACATTATGCCTTAGACACATTTTTATGCTCTTTGTCTGACCCTGAACTTGACATCTTAATAAGTCTTATGGTTTCCAGCAGCTCACTCACAAGCATGTATTTGCTGCACAGGGCAGGGTTTGTATGCTCCTGAACTCATGACAGTGGTTGGAACTGTTCCCTAGAAGGATGGAGATACTAATACCCACAGGGATGCTTGACAGCCGATCTGGCTGTGCTGTAGCCTTGTGGCCTTGACCCCTGCATTTCATGTCTCCTTCACAGGTCAGCTGGACATCATCTCCATGGCCGAGACAACCATGATGCCAGAAGAGATTGAGCTTGAGATGGCGAAGATCCAGCGTCTCCGAGAAGTCTTAGTCCGGAGGGAGTCGGAGCTCAGGTTCATGTGAGTGACAGCACTTTGGGGAAGTGGCTACATAAGAGCAGGCATGTGGAGGAGGGGACCAGGGGCGTTTAGGAATCAGCAACTGCGTGCCCAGCCCTAGAGAAAGACCTTATGGGACATCTTGTTTTCTCGCTTGATTCTCACAGCCACCCTGAGGTCCCCTGTTCTCTAGGTTTTGTTCATGGCATTGAGTTCAGGCCATTCTGACTCCAAAGTTCCTCTAACGAGGGGGAGGAGGTAGAGAGAAAAAGAACTGGAGGTGCAGAGGTAGCTGGGAGCATGACCTTGGCCTTGGTGAGCTCCACTTTTTCCTCATTTGTGCAACGGGGCACATAATGATACCACCCTCGATCCCATGACCTCAGAGTCCATTTGCTGCAGTGTTCTGAGGATTACAAGAGAAAACATATTTTTTAAAATTAATTTTAATGAACATTTACAGAGACTTTGGATCTCCATTCATTCATTATTGCATTTTTCTCCCTGTCCACCCCTCCCTAGTTCACTCTTCTCTTTGAAAAGTAAAAGAAAAATTCTTTCATTGTTATACAATCCCTCCCCCCCAAGTCCACTCCACTGTGCAGCCTTCATTCTGGACTCCTGTCATGACAATAATACCTAATCACATATCCCTTTTAAACAGAGAAAACGTAATTTTAAAAGTTGAGCTCCACAGATGAACAGCCAGCATGAGAATAGAACTGATCAATGCCCAAGACTTAACCAGCAATCAAACAGACCAGGTCATGCAATGGTTAAACACTCAGCTGGGAACTGTAAGGTTGAGAGTTTGAACCCACACAATGGTTCTCTGTGAAAAGATGACCTGGTGACCTGTTTCCGTAAAGACCACAGCTGAGTAAACCCCGTGGGAGACAGTTCCACACTGTGGGTTCCACAGAACTGGCTTGACTTTAACAACAACAATGTCAGTTTGGAAGTCTTCTTGCACTATAGGTGACCCAGTCTTCACTGGAGCCACAGGAGTCGCACACCTGCCAGGCTCCTGCTAAGAACCCGCCACCAGTTCTTCCACTGATTTCTTACAACGTGGTGAGGTCCACTGGCGTGAGACCATTTTACAGATGAGAGGAATGAGGCTCAGAAAATTAACAACCTCCCCAAGGCGTCCTAGCTAGGAGATAGTTAGGAATCAGGCTCACCTATTCTTGCATTCAAAGTACATATCTGTTTTCCCCCCTGCCGTGAAAATAGTTTCATAAGTTCATAACAAAACATTAATAAGGGGTTGATCAGACATTGCCATTAATTGATTATATTAATTAATTATAATTAATGTTATAAAAAGAAAATGAAGGGGAGCTCTGGTGGCCTAGTGGCAAGAAGCTGTACTGCAATCCCAAAGGTATACGGTTTGAATCCACCAGATGCTCTGCCAGAGAAGGAGGGACAATTTCCTCCTGTACCAGTCAGATCTGATTTGATGGTACATGCACCAAATAAATAAATAAATAAATACATAAAATGAGTGCAAATGATTGAATGAATAATGAATTGTGGTTTGTAACTTTTGCTCAAGTGAAAAAAAATGAAGAAAAATGTTTAGAACAGAATTTTGACAATTTGACAATTCCATGTGTGTAATTAAGGGATTGGAAATACTGTGGTTTGAATCAGGTACACCTTAGTCTTTAAGCTGATATCTTTGCTCATTAGCATTTTAAAGAGGTCCTTGGCAGCAGATTTGCCCATTGCAAGACAGTGAAGGATGATTAATGAGGATTCTTTCCGGAACCAGAGTTATACATCGTGTGTAGCTTTGCCAGGATACACAGAGGACAGACTCTTCTGGTCACGTTTCATCAATTTCAAATACTCAAGGGACTTGAGGCTTGCTAGGGCAGGAAACACGGCACATTCAGGCTTCGCCATCCATCGTTCCCAGCCTCCTAGGCTAACAGGCCGGTGCTTTCTTGAGTCCCACTTCCAGCTGCCTCTCAGCCAGATAGCTGCAGGGCTTATCTTACAGATGGGCCCTATTCTTATCTCCATTTTGGAGGAATTGGAGGTCAAAAAAATTGACCGAGGTTGCGCGAGGTAACAACTAAATGGCCAAACCAGAATGCAATCAAACCCCAGATGTTATTTGTTGTTGTTCACTGCCCTTGAGTCAGAAGTGACTAATAGCTGACCCTCTGGGGGATTTTAGAGGCTGCAAGTCTTGCAAGAGGAGATTGACTATCTTTGTCCTACAGAGACAAATGGATTCAAACCGCTTGCCTTTGGGTGGACAGCACAGCTCCTTACCCACTAGGTTACAGTGTCCAGACTCCAGAGCATGTATTAAATGGCTGAAGGAAGGAAAGGAGGAAGGAGGACAGAGAGGAAGAGAAGGAGAGTGGAGTGAAAGAGAGGAGGGAAGAGGAGGGGAAAAACACAGGCAGGAAGGGAGAACTTTGACTCTTCATCAAGATAATTCCTTGGAGTGTAAACTGTCTTGTAAATTCTCATCTGTCTTGCCTCTGTATTTTCCCAGCATCTTGAACAGTGCCTGACCCTTATTAGATCAATTAATAATTGCTAACCGTGGACTCAGTGACTGGGATAATCGGGATGGGAGTGTCAGAGACAGTGTGATTGGCACAGGACAGAGCAGAGTATAGGGCTGTTGTACATAGGGTCGCTATGAGTCGCAAGCGACTCGACGGCACATAACAACAACAACCGTGGATGACAACACCCTGCCCACTTTCTACACATAGCTTGTGGTGTAGAGCTAAGAATGACACAGAGTCTCAGACCATGCCAAGCATTTGTAGTGAAGCAGTTGATGAAAAGCTTCCAAGTGACAGCAGTGTGACAGGCCCCTGGCTGAAATGGTCCCCGCGACCATAGCCGTGGTAACCAGGATGAAATTGGTTTTGTCACACCTGCTCCGAAGCAATCAAGTTAATACCCATCAGCTCCCTGGTGAGTCAGACATCATTTCACAGTTGAGGATGCTCTTTTTTTCCCTTTCCTGGTCTCCTACTGTGTTGAGCCTTTAAAGAATCACTCTGGGACCTGCTTCTTCTCACCCACTCCCACACACTCAGTGTGGAGAGTGATTCCTCTGTGGGTTCCCCTTTATCGTTGGCTCCGTCTGCCCTTTTCCCTGGACTCCACAGTAACAGCAGTTCTCCTTCTCTTGCCAAGATGGTGGACAAGCAGGAGAGTCGCACGGACTGTCTCACATCTTTTCGGCCTGCCCTGAACAAGGCCCACATGAGTCAGGCCAGACATGAGCTGTGAGGAGGCTCCCAGGAACGTATCACGGGACGAAACTCGTCCTCAAACTACACACACACACAGCTTGTCTTCTTTCACTACGACCCCTTCCCATGTTCTCTGCTTTTCACGTTGTGAAACGGCATTTACTAATCACAGTTTGGAGATTTTCGTTGTCGGGACCTTAGTTCTTATTAGGACTGCTGAGCCCTTTTCTTCTCCCAGAATGTATACTGAGAGAATCCAGTCACAGGAAGCAGCAGCTGTGCTTTTTCTCTCTGTGAAACTACCCTACCCCCCATTTTCCCAGGAATAGTTATCTGAGACCCCAGCCCACTTCACTATCTGAAGGAAGCATCTGTAAGCATCCCCTTCCCCAAACCCCTTGTAAGAAAGTATAAAATCCCCCTCTTAATTCTTAGTGAGGGCTGGTTCTACTTGAGAGCCAGCCCAGCAGTTTCTCCTCAATAAATGATCTTTCTTGGCCTGCACTGGGTTCTGTCCTTCCTCGAAGATCTTATAGTTCTCAACTGGGAGTTGCTTCACTGGAGGGTCCTTGCCTTCTACCAACCAAGAACGACCAAGAGAGGAGCAAAGCTTTCTATTTTGTTTCATGGGAACAAAGCTGGTTAAGCAGAGTCAGCATGCGAGTGATGAATGTAGCTCTCGAGCAGACAGAGTGTGTGTGTGGGGGGGGGGGGGGGGTGGGGGGAGGCGGGGGTGTGTGTCATGCAGTTGCTAACCTCTGTCTCTTCAGACAAAAACTTTCTGGGACTTAGAAAAGACTTCTGACCGGGAGCTATGTGAGGGGGGAAGAAGGCAGGATAGTGGAGATGAGATGTGAGTGTACAAATAACATTTAAGGCGAGCTCTGGTGGCCTGGTGACAAGAAGCTGCACTGCAGTTGCAGAGGTGAGCAATTTGAATCCACCAGATGCTCTGCTGGTGAAGGAGGGACAATCTCCTTCTGTACCTGTCAGATCTGATTTGACAGTACACACAAAAAGTAAGAATTTTTTTTTTTAAAAAAAAAAAGAAGGAAAAAAACTTAAAAGAAGATAGAGTCCTTTGCAAAGGTTTCTGGGATTGGTTGGCGGACTTTGTCTGGGCTGTCGCGCATGCGCAGCTTCCTAAGGCGCTGACTTAAGTCCTGCGGACAGAACCGCATCCTTTCTTCGCTTTGGGAAGGTTACTCTCTGGTCACTGAATGAGGCATTGCACGTGCTTAGGAGACTGGCTAGGTCCAATGGTTCTGAGAAGCATCGTATGGGGAACTGGTAAACCAGAAGCCAATGATCAGCTATTCTGTTATATTCTGGTTGTGGGTCTTACCTTCTTTAATCTTCAAGCACGAGTGGCCTCCCATTGTTTGGTTTCAGGTCACAAGGAAGGAAGAAACAAAAAGCACGCTCAGAAGAATGAAGGTTTTTGGTGCTGTTGGAGTCTAGCCAGCTCATAACCTGTCTCCATTTGGCAATGTTTATGAGCTTAGCTTGAACAAGTTCATAAACCTCTTAGAACAGTCATGCACCATATAACGTCCGTTTGGGTGACGTTATTCACATATATCTTCAACCGCATATTTATCTGTGGTCTCATAAGATTATAATAGAGTTCAGAACCCCCAGCTGGAGGACATTACTTGCTTCCCACGTGTGACACTAATATTTCATGACTTATTTACAAAGCATTTGTGCTGTAGACAGGACCTATGTTACCTATAATACATGCTAATCATCATTACAGGAAGCTCTGGTGGCCTACTGCTAAGA